TTTCTGTAAACATTTTGATTGCACCATTTTACCTGTGTTTCTTATTAAACAATATTTAAAAATGGTTAATATTGTCTCTAATGCACTAAGCCAGATCTCAAAGAATCTCTGTTTCTTGGAGGAAAGCTATTATACTGTAAATCTCTGGAATATTCCTGTCTGTGGTGGCAGGGTGTATTATAGACATTTATTGAAAGCCATAATCGTTATTGTGTGATACTGATGGTAAGCACACCATTGGTAGCATGTATTTATTCACATCCTTTTGGGATAAGAGGTGGCAGCTGCAAATAAGAGGTATTTGTTATTTATTTATTGGCGCCGGTGGCTTTTGTATTTTATAATTGTTATTGTGAATAGTTTATACTGTAGGTAGATAGCTAGCTTGTGGTAGTGATTTGTGCAGTTAATTTTGCATAGTTAATGAAACCCAGTGACTATCACTCTCGGTCTGCTGGCACTCAGGTTCTGGTGTCGCGAGCTGGAAAATCTTTGTGCAGGTTGAAGCTGAGAGTGTCATTGTCACCTATCAGTGACAGTGCCATGTGAGTTTGAACAGCCATTTGTCACAACTTGGTGAAGGTGCTGAAGGTGGACACTACATTTGCCACAATGAGGTCCAGAGAACTCATAACTACAGTTTTTAAGTATAAGCACAGCAGTTGGAGGCATTGTCATTTTCCATATTCTTGTGCTCAGCATAGGTTCAGGAACCTATGGTCCTAGTAGATTAACTTATCTGCCTCTGTTATCAAGTAAACTGGTGTTTTGGACCTCTTAACTATTCACAGCATGTGACTACACATTTTGTGTCCCTAAATTTTGTGCAAATAACATTTAAAACAAATTTTCATAGATTAAAAGTAAAGGGATACATTTTATATATTATTAATACACAGACAAACATTTTACTTTATTGACTTAAGAAATGTTTTTCACCAAGGAGTTTTGTGACATGATATACACACTATATTGCCAAAAATATTGGGACGCCTGCCTTTGCATAATGGCATCCCAGTCTTAGTCCGTATGGTTTAATATTGAGTTGGCCGACCCTTTGCAGATATAACAGTTTCAACTCTTCTGGGAAGGCTGTCCAAAAGGTTTAGGAGTGTGTCCATGGAAATGTTTGACCATTCTTCCAGAAGCGCATTTGTAAGGTCGGGCACTGATGTTGGACGAGAAGTCCTGGCTCGCAATCTCCACTCTAATTCATCCCAAAGGTGTTCTATCAGGTTGAGGTCAGGGTGCAGGCCAGTCTTTATGGACCTTGCTTTAAGAACTGGTGCGCAGTCATGTTGGAACAGGAAGGGGACATCCCCAAACTGTTCTCACAAAGTCGGGAGCATGAAATTGTCCAAAATTTCTTGGTATGCTGACGCCTTTAAGAGTTCTCTTCATTGGAACTAAGGGGTCAAGCCCAACCCCTGAAAAACAACCCCACACCATAATCCCTCCTCCACCAAACTTTACACTTGGCACAATGAAGTCAGGCAAGTACGGTTTTCCTGGCAACCACCTAACCCAGACATGTCAAATGGATTTCCAGACAGAGAAGCATGATTCATGACTCCTTTTACGCCACTGAATCTGAAGCTTTGCATTTCACTTGATGCACTTGCTTGGTTGCAGCTGCTCACCCATGGAGACCCATTTCGTGAAGCTCTCTACACAGCGTTGTTGTGCTAATCTGAAGGCCACACAAAGTTTGGAGGTCTTTAGCTATTGCTTCTGCAGACAGTTGGTGACTTCTGTGCACTGTGCTCTCAGCATGCGCTGACCACGCTCTTTAACATGACCTACCACTTTGTGGCAGTGTTGCTGTTGTTCCCAGTTGCTTCCACATTGTTATAATACCACTAACAGTCAACAGTGGAATATTTCGTAACAAGGACATTTCACAAATGGATGTAATGCACAGGTACCATGCTTAAATTCACTGAGCTCCTCAGAGTGACTCATTCTTTCACAAATGTTTTTAGAAGCAGCCTGAATGCCAGGTGCTTGATTTTATACACCTGTGGCTATGGAGGTGATTGGAACACCTGAATCTGATGATTTGGAGGGTTGGCCCAATACTTTTGGCATTATAGTGTAGTATCACTTTTTTTGAATGTTAACATTGATTTACTCAAACTTAAAAATCTTATGGTTTTTTCAGTGTTTTAACAATAGAACTGCATGAAATGTATAACTGGAAAGACTAAGAAACTTCTTTTTTTAGAGAAAAAGAAAATCCTGCCTCTCTTTGGTGGCTAGTCAATACTGATCCCAATATTTGCAGCCCAGTTCAGAAGATTTTATTGAATTCCACTGTGAGTCCCAGATGTACTACAGTTGTTATTGAATGAAAAATAAAGTGTTAAACAAAGAAAACTTTTCATAATATATAGCTCATACTTTGTTAAAGCAATTCCATTTTTAATCCAATACAATTTTAAAAACATGTTACATACAGATTAGGCTTACAAGTGAAACCACAAGATGTTGCCCAAACATAGTGTAAGGTCTTTTGTGCCAGCTTTCTAAAAGCACCCCAACAGCCCCTGAGTCTCCTAAAAACGCATTTCAGCTTTCATCCTCTACCCATATTCTGCACCCCCTAATGTAATTTGTAGGCCTCAGTGACTTTATTACTGTATACCCCATAAACAGTTTTGAGTGTAGAGAACCTCTACCTGCTTCATGTGGCTGAACCTCCAAGTTGAAGTCCTACAGTAAATCCTGAAATTAAGTTGTGAACAAGTTCCCAGTCCTAGCGGTCAACACAAGCCTCTATTTCTGCCATACATAAGCATGATGGTGAGTTGTAGACCCTTTTCACTCCATCTCCTGATCCACATCCATCCCTACATGTCTGGTCACATTCCTGTGCAAGGCCCTTTGATTTAACATCTGGGACCTATCTGACATGGGGGCCCAAGTCACTTGGCATGTAATCAACTAGACCATCAACATCTAGCCCAATCAGATTTTTTTTTTTTTTTTCACAACAAAGGATTTCTGCAGCTCTGCACTTTACTCAAATTTTCCTCATGTATTGCAATTCTTTTTTAGTATATCACCTGGCTTCTCTTTCATACATGGTCAATAATGCAGTATTGTAGTGGCTTTTCATAAACTTTACTGAATATACTGAAACGGTTTACAGATGTTCTTCAATTGCATAGTATAATTGAGAGAACTATCTGATTAGCATTGCAGTCCTAATGCATGTGGCAATAAAAGTCCCAGACTTGCACAGATTGCACTCTACATGGTAATACTTCCTAAAATATGGCTAGCATAACTTATCAAAGTCCCACTAATGCCATTCAAAAGGAGTTGCGGTGGTGTACACTTGCATCATGCTGCTGTCTCTGTTCAAGACACAGAACAGCTCACCCAGGGGTGGACTGACCATTCGGGCGCTCAGGCACTGCCTGAGGGCCCGCGGTCATTAAAGGGCCCCATGAGAGGCTCAGTCCATCCCTGTATGTGCCGCTGCTGAAAGGATGAAAAAAGGAAGCCTGAAGGGGACGGACAGTGAGGCCCAGTTCATGCAGAAATTGGAGAGAAAGAGCAGAGGAGTAATATTGGCCGGCCTGGATCCGAAAGTGTTGGTGGATGGGGCAGCGCCGCGGCAGGCACTTCAGACACCTCTCCTCCTTGGAGTTTCAGCAGAGGGGCAGGTCCTCATCCCTGACACGGGTGCTGAAGAAGTTTGAGAGCTGGAGGGGTGGGCAGAGCAGAGAGTGGAGTCATCATCAAGCTGGCCTGCTTTGTATCCTGCAGCAGGTTAGTGTGAAATCTCCTGACCCCCTGTGACAGCACTGCAGCTTCATGTAGTAGGAGTGGGGGAGAGGAGAGGGAGAGGGGAGGGAGAGAGAAAGAGAGAGAGAGGAAGAGAGAGGATTGAACAGTGCTCTGTGAGATGGTCAAAGCTTGGGATTTTTTTTATAACCTAACTCTGCTTTAAACTTCTCCACCACTTTATCCCTGACCTGTCTGGTGTGTTTCTTGGCTTTCATAATGCTGTTTGTTCACTAATATTCTCTAACAAAACTCTGAGGACTTCACAGAATAGCAGGATTTATATTGACATTACATGACACACAGGTGGACTCTGTTTACTATTTACTGAAAAGTTTGAAAAAAAAAATATTTTCTACTTTCTGCTATAAAACATATCCAATAAAGAAATTTAAAAAATAAAATTTCTTCATAAATTTAGGCCAAAATTTATTCTGCTACATGTCTTTGGTAAAAAAAAAATCCCAATAAGTGTACCGTATTTGCCGGCGTATAAGACAACTGGGCGTATAAGACGACCCCTACTTTTCCTGCTAAAATGTAGTGACTGGGCTATACTCGCCGTATAAGACTACCCCTCTTCCAATGCACACCAGTGGGAGGAATAGTGCCCCATCATTGGTATTAGTGGCAGGAATAGTGCCCCATCATTGGTATTAGTGGCAGGAATAGTGCCCCATCATTGGCATTAGTGGCAGGAATAGTGCCCCATCATTAGTATCAGTGGGGGGAATAGGTGCCCCATCATTGGTATCAGTGGCAGGAATAGTGCCCCATCATTGGTATCAGTGGGAGGAATAGTGCCCCATCATTGGTGTCCAGTGGGAGGAATAGTGCCCCATCATTGGTGTCAGTGGGAGGAATAGTGCCCCATCATTGGTATCAGTGGCAGGAATAGTGCCCCATCATTAGTATCAGTGGGGGGAATAGTGCCCCATCATTGGTGTCAGTGGGAGGAATAGTGTCCCAACATTGGTGTCAGTGGGAGGAATGGTGTCCCATCATTGGTGTCAGTAGGGGGTAGAATAGTGCCCCATCATTGGTTTTAGTGGGGGGGGAATAGTGCCCCATCGGTGTCAGTGGGGGGGAGGAATAGTGCCCCATCGTTGGTGTCAGTGGGGGGAGGAATAGTGCCCCATCGTTGGTGTCAGTGGGAGGAATAGTGCCCCATCATTGGTATCAGTGACACCAATGATGGGGCACTATTCCTCCCACTGACACCAATTACACTTGCTGACCCTGTTCTAGTATGGTGCTGCTGCAGCCAGCATATGTGGTTGCAGCAGCACCTCTACACTGAACACTTACCTGCTGCTCCTGCACTCGATTTTCACGGGGCCAATCGGCCGCCCCCTCGCCGGTGATTGGCCACCTGTGTGCCTTTCCTGAGCTACAGTTCTGGCGGCCAATCACCGGTGAGGAGGCGGAGCCGAGCAGCCGCGCTAACATCCATTGGCCGAACTGAAGGAGCAGCCGCGCTTCCTGGACCGGATCGTCGTGGGACCGTAGCCAGGTAAGAAACAGCCCCTGCCCACCCTTGTACTTAGTGTCCCTTCCGTTGGAAGGGGGGGGGCGGCGGCGGCACCATGCCGCCCCCTTAAAAGGTGTCAGTATGCCGTATACCGGCGTATAAGACGACGACCCCCGACTTTTGAGAAGATTTTCAAGGGGTAAAAAGTCGTCTTATACGCCGGCAAATACGGTATATTGATTAGTTTATATGAAAGGTATAGCGTCTACAAACTATGGGATATATACTGGAATATATGCAGCTACAGACACTATACTGGCAATGGCGGTGATCAGCAGCTTATAGTGGGACAGGGGACAGATCTGCCAAGACGGCACCTGAACTTAGCTCTTTAATGCTTTTGTAATATGCTGCTCAAAGCTTTTTGTTTTTAATTTTTTTAATTTTTTGTTTATTTTTTAATACAATCTTCAGCTAAGAAGGCATTTGTTGCACCTGTTATATTGTGTTCGTCCATTAACACCTTAATTGTTGCGTTCTCTTTAATATAAGTTTTTTTTTTTAATTTCTACAGTATAATAAACATTTATTTTGAACATAATGTAGAGAAATTCTGTGACAAACGCATGTAATGCGATTGGTGCAATATGTAAGTGGGGCTTTGTGTAAGTGTGGCTTGAGTGTGGGTGGGAACAGAGAGGGCCCCATGATCTCATAACTCTAATCAACACCCTCTCCACCTGTCCTCGTCGGCTCTTCTCCACTTTCAAATCCCTGCTCTCCCCCCACCCAGCACCTCACTCACCGCCCACGAGATTGCCAATCACTTCCAAAACAAGATTGACATTGTCAACTCACAATCCACCTCTCCACCAGCCTCCCGCCCTCCTTCAACCCCTCAACCGTCCCCTCCCCCGACCTCATAGCCGCACTACCCCCCACTATACCTAATGCCCCGCACACCATCACCTCCCCAACACTCCGCTCCTTCAGCCCAAATAACCCCGAGGAGGTCTCTAAGGTCTTCACTGAAGCCCGCCTCACCACCTTCTCCCTGGACCCTATCCCCTTACAGCTTCTCCAGTCACCCCCCCTCCATCATTTGCTCCCTCACCCACATCTTCAATCTCTCCCTCTCTACTGGCACCTTCCCCTCCCCTCTAAAGCACGCACACATCACCCCCATACTCAAAAAAACCCTCCCTTGACCCCACTAACCTTAACAACCTTAGACCCAACTCCTTGTTGCCCTTCACTTCCAAGCTCCTTGAGCGCCTGGCCTACAATCGCCTAAGCGCCCACCTCACTGATAACAACCTCCTTGACACCCTACAGTCTGGCTACCGTCCCCTGCACTCCACCGAAACCGCCCTACCTAAAATCCCCAATGACCTGCTAACCACCAAAGCCAATGGCCACTATTCTATCCTCCTACTCCTCGACCTCTCTGCGGCCTTCGACACTGTTGACCACCCTCTCCTCCTTGCCAAACTGCACTCCCTTGGCATCAAGGACGCTACTCTCTCCTGGTTCTCCTCCTACCTTTCCCAATGCTCCTTCAGCGTCACCTACAACACTGCCACCTCCCCCTCCCTCCCCCTCTCTGTTGGGGTCCCCCAAGGCTCTGTCCTCGGGCCCCTTCTCTTCTCCATCTACACCTCCTCCCTTGGCAAACTTATTCACTCCCACGGCTTCAATTACCACCTCTAATTTACCTCTCCACCCCCCACCTCACCCCCTCACTCTCTGCCCGCATTGCCCACCTCCTAAACGACATATCAGACTGGATGTTGCTCCATTTCCTCAAACTTAACCTATCCAAAACCGAGCTCCTTGTCTTCCCCCCACCCCCGTGCCCCCCCCATCCTCTCCATCACTACTAACAACGCCACCATCTTTCACACCCCACACGCCAAAGTCCTGGGTGTCACCCTGGACTCCCACCTCTCCTTCCTACAACACATCCAACTGCTATCTAGATCTTGCAGGCTCCACCTCCGCAACATCTCCAAGATACGTACATTCCTCACCCCAGACACCACCAAAAAACTCGTACACTCCCTCATCATCTCACGCCTGGACTATTGCAATTCCCTTCTCACTGGCCTACCCAAACGAACGCTATCCCCACTCCAGTCAATCCTAAACTCAGCGGCTAGACTCATCCACCTCACCAACCACTCCACTTCTTCCTCCCCCCTTTGCCAATCCCTTCATTGGCTCCCGATTTCCCAGCGCATCAAATTCAAACTGCTAACTCTGACCTACAAAGCCATTCACAATTCCACCCCAAACTACATAACTGACCTGATACCCAAATACTACCCTACCCGTGCCCTCCGCTCCTCACAGGACCTCCTACTCTCTAGTTCCCTGGTCTCCTCCTCCCACGCCCGATTGCAGGACTTCTCCAGGACTTCCCCCATCCTCTGGAACTCCCTACCCCAATCCATCAGACTGTCACTTACCCTCCTCACCTTCAGGCACACCCTGAAAACCCATCTCTTCAGGGAAGCCTACCCCAACCTCACCTAACACCTGATCTCACCTAACAACTAACCTCCTCCACTCCTCCCACCACTCCATCCCCCACAGCCATCTCCTCCTGTACCACCTTCCCCTCCCTCCTAGAACCCCTCGTGTATTGTATTGTTACTGTCTTGTCTCATGTTTTGTCCCCCTTGCTACTGTACAGCGCTGAGCATACCCTTTGGCGCTATATAAATACTGTATAATAATAATAATAATCTCCTATTGCCCAGGGACCCCATGAGTTGTCAGTCCACCCCTGAGCTCACCCACCCACTTTATAAAGGAACAGGACTGGGTTACTGAGGATTGAGCACCTTAAGCATACAAGGATTGAAATTCGGCAGGTCCCGGCAGAATTTCAATCCAGGTATAGACACTGAGGTTGTACAAAAGTTGATCTACAACTCAACTTTTGTACAACCACCATATCAGATTTTCCCTGCTCAATCAGCATTGCAGGCTGTACCAGTCTCCCCACTGTCAGAATATAATGACACAGCAAGAAGGACTCTCATATCCACGTCTTGTGTGAATGAGGGAATCTGGTCAGTTTTTGTTAATAAACCCGCTGGCGGCTGTGTGAAAAATCTGACTCGCCTTAACCTCCCTGGCGGTATTCCCGAGTGTAGCTCGGGGTAAAGTTTCAGTACCGCAAGCGGTAACCCCGAATGTAGCGCGGGCTTACCATGCATCGCTGTTCCGCGATCCCTCGATCACTTACCTTGTCCTGCGCTCCCGCGATGTCCCTCCTGCAGTGTCCCTGGCAATGTAATCCAGAGGATGCCGGCATCTGTCATCTGGGTTCCGTCCCCTGCGAGCGTCGGGAGCGTCGGGAAATTTGAAAATGACAAAAAGTGACATTCACTAAAATCACATAGTAAAACATTACTGTATCAAAGCATTTCACATGCATTTTGTCCTGAGTGCTTTGTCCTGTGCCCTGCCTGCATTTTTACTGCTCTTTCTGCCTGGAAACTGAGAAATGTCCATGGTGTCCAAAAAGTGTCCATTTAGGTCAAAAGCGGTTTTAGACCAGCTAGATCAGCGGTTCTCAACCTGGGGGTCGCGACCCCTTTGGGGGTCGAACGACCATTTCCCAGGGGTCGCCTAAGACCATCGGAAAACATATTTCCGATGGTCTTAGGAACCGAGACACCGCTGCTCTGTCTCGCGATCTGTGGGCGGGATGATATGCTGCCCCTGTAACCTGGCCACACCTCCGGGATCACTCAACAGCTCCGCCTCCTCGCCGCTGATTGGCCACCGGAACTGTAGCTCAGGAGAGGCACACAGGTGGCCAATCACCGGCGAGGAGGTGGAGCTTGGAGAGGAGGAGCCGAGCGGCAGAGCGCGCAGATCGAAGAAGATCGAGGGAGCTGCAGGACCAAGTGAAGAGGAGAGAGGCCAGAGAAGGAAGACAGCTGACAGGTAAGTGCAAATTTTGCTTCTGCAGGCTGTAGATGGGAGAGGGAGAGAGCGAGCCCAGGCTGGAGCAGGGGTCAGCAAGGTAAGTATCATTGGTGTCAGTGGGAGGAATAGTGCCCCATCATTTGTGTCACTAATACCAACGATGGGGCACTATTCCTCCCCCCACTGACACCAACGATGGGGCACTATTCCTCCCCCCACTGACACCAACGATGGGGCACTATTCCTCCCCCCACTGACACCAACGATGGGGCACTATTCCTCCCCCCACTGACACCAACGATGGGGCACTATTCCTCCCCCCACTGACACCAACGATGGGGCACTATTCCTCCCCCCACTGACACCAACGATGGGGCACTATTCCTCCCCCCCACTGACACCAACGATGGGGCACTATTCCTCCCCCCACTGACACCAATGATAGGCACTATTCCTCCCCCCACTGACACCAACGATGGGGCACTATTCCTCCCCCCACTGACACTAATGATAGGCACTCTTCCTCCCACTGACACCAATGATGGGGCACTATTCCTCCCACTGATACCAATGATGAGGCACTATTCCTCCCACTGATACCAATGATGGGGCACTATTCCTCCCACTGACACCAATGATGGGGCACTATTCCTCCCACTGATACCAATGATGGGGCACTATTCCTCCCACTGACACCAATGATGGGGCACTCATTCCTCCCACTGACACCAATGATGGGGCACTATTCCTCCCACTGACACCAATGATGGGACACTATTCCTCCCACTGACACCAATGATGGGACACTATTCCTCCCACTGATACCAATGATGGGGCACTATTCCTCCCACTGACACCAATGATGGGACACTATTCCTCCCACTGACACCAATGATGGAGCACTATTCCCCCCACTGACACCAATGATGGGGCACTATTCCTCCCACTGACACCAATGATGGGGCACTATTCCTCCCACTGATACCAATGATGGGGCACTATTCCTCCCACTGACACCAACGATGGGGCACTATTCTTCCCACTGATACCAACAATGGGACACTATTCCTCCCACTGACATCAGTGATGGGGCGCTAGTCCTCCCACTGATACCAATGATGGGGCACTATTCCTCCCACTGATACCAATGATGGGGCACTATTCCTCCCACTGACACCAATGGCGGGACACTATTCCTCCCACTGATACCAACGATGGGACACTATTCCTCCCACTGATACCAACGATGGGACACTATTCCTCCCACTGATACCAATGATGGGGCACTATTCCTCCCACTGATACCAATGATGGGGCACTATTCCTCCCACTGCAAAATTACAGTTCTGAAGTAGCAACGAAAATAATTTTATGGTTGGGGGTCACCACAACATGAGGAACTGTATTAAGGGGTCGCGGCGTTAGAAAGGTTGAGAACCACTGAGCTAGATAGTAAATTAGAACCACTTGCAGAATTGAGTGATAATGATTTGTGGGGAAATTTGCCATCAGACACTGAAAACGATTTTGCGACTTTGCTCAGTGATGTGCGAACTTGGCGCTATATTTCAAATTTCTGTGTTTTTGGTTTGATTATATTATTGAATTACATTTATTATTATATTATTATTTTTTATGATTATTTATTAAATTATAATTTATGATTTCATGTTTCAAGTTTCATCCTACCCGGGATGTTTACTAGACTCTTGTTCGGACAGATTTCAGTGGGTTATTCCTAAAAATTACAGGCCTACAATAAAAAAAATGACATATTTCCATGCAAAAAACTGTACCGCTTTAAGCACAGAAATATGGACATAACCAGACCGCTAGGGAAGTTAAAGTGAAGAGCACACACTTTATAGAGGAACACCATCCTACATGTTTAATGTTACCACATTAGCAAATATAAAATAAAGAAAACAATTATTTTGTCATCAGCCTTTAAAGCCTAATTAAGTAAAGATTATTAAAATAATCCATTGTTTAATTAATTAAACTGCTCCATGCTGTTAATTTTTTATTTACATTGAACACTTTGGCTAAAAATGAACAACTTACTTCAGTAAAAAGAGTGCTAATTCTTAAGTGTATATGTATTAAGAGTGTTCTTGGTTTGTATAAATGACAATGGAATTTTAAATGCAATGTGGGGCATGCATTGATATTTTCCTATAAATACTAAAGCACTGTATGACCTTACGTGAGAGTGAATGCTGAAAGGTGGATTTGGAACACTGTTGCACTTTGGTTGCTTTTGGAGATATCCACACATCAATGGAAGACTTTTTTTCACTGTGAAGAGAGACTTTATTTGCACAGTTGAGTAAAGAACATGAAGTACATTTTTAAGCTTTAGCTTATAGCCCTAAAAAAAGTTTGGTTGCACTTTAACTTATTTTTAACTTATATATGCTATATATAATGTTATCACTATCTGTGCTATAAGCTTATAAGTCTAATTGTATATATTTGTTTGTTCAGTGTTTTAGGGTAGGATAGTGTTTCACTAAATTTTTTTGTTTTCACTAATCCTTATGTGCTAATAAGCCTGACCCCAACCCTAACCAAATTGTAACCAGAGCCATCAGATATCACTGTACTGAAGTCAGGCAAGTACATGGTGGATTGTTATTGGTTGCTATAGTTTTTTTTTTTTCTTTAAATGAGCATATTTGTGTTGATTAAATGCTTCAGGTTCTCCCTAATACAGTGTCAGACCCTGCTTAAAATAAATGGGGATTCATTTGGAATAAACTGAGGTCAATCAGTTTTTTTTTATTAACAAACTTGTCATACCTACCTGCTCTGTGCAGTGGTTTTGCCCAGAGCAGCCCAGATCCTCCTCTTCTCGGGTCCCCCGCTGGGGCTCCTAACCCCTCACTTCTGTTGGGTGCCCCCACTGCAAGCAGCTTGCTGTGGGGACACCCAAGCAGGCGTACTCTCGAGCCACAGCTCTGCGTGTCCATTCTTACACAGAGCCACAGCTTGGCCCCACCCCTCCCTCTCCTGATTGGCTCACTGGCTGAGATTGACAGCAGCGGAAGCCCATGGCCAGTGGGAGCCAATCAGGAGTTAGAGTCTCTGGAGAACATAGATTCTCGTGGACATCGCTGGATCGAGATGGGGCTCAGGTATGTGTTTGGGGGGCCTGATACACACAGAAGGTTTTTTTTCACCTTCATGTGTAGAATGCATGAAGGTGAAAAACCTTGAGTATTTACAACCACTTTAACATTATCTGGCAGGCTGCCAAGATTTTATTTTAATAGAGTGTAATAGGAAAAACATTAAGATTTCTGTGCCTGTGTTGTGAAGTTTGGAGACAAATTTTTGATTTAAATAATTTTAAAGATCTTTACTACTTGTTTTGCTGCTTTTGTATGTAATCATTTACACCCATAATCTGGACACAAGTTCAGTTTAGGATAGCAGAGCGATTGTACACAATACGTATGTACAGATCCTGTTCCTAAAATCCTTACTTTGATACTGCATGTAGATCGTGATATTTTCACTTGATAAGATCATTACTTTTAACAGAACCTATTTTTCAAGAATGGCAGATAGCCACTGCTCCCAATCTGAGTGCACGACCCCGAATGCTTAGGGACATGCACCTGGACCCACATGGATGTCTAATTGGGAGCAATGGCTGTGTTTGTGCAGTTGCTACGTCCCAAATTATATCAATGGGACTGCCTGCTCAGGGGTGCATGGAACATCAATTTTTTTTTTTAGATTTTGTTCTTTTTTTTGGGGGGGGGGTGAGATATCAGAGCTCTAAACAGACCTCTGATATCTCACCCTGATCTCACCCTGATCAGACCCTGCTGTCTCTTTTTTGAAACAGAGAAAGGGACTGAAGATAGTCCCTTTCTCTGCAGCCTAAGCTGCACATTACATGAATGAATAAGAAGTCTGTATAGAGACTCCTTTTCATTCATAAACTGACACATAGTAAACACAATTTACTATGCTCAGTTATCAATGGATACAGGAGTGATCAGTAGTGATAGCCGACTGTATCCATTGAAGAAAATGGAGGGGGCTAGTAAACACACTCTTCATCCTGACAGCTTCCCTAAAACCGGAGCAGCAGCTGCAGGCGGCTGGAGGTATTGGAGAGAATGCCGGCCAGCAGCTGCAGGATAGCTGCAGGGGATTGGGTTTGCGGGTGGGGGGAAGCAGATTGTGGAAAGGGATTGATGCTGAGTAGGGTGGGGGGGACATTTAATAAAAGAGCAGCAACGGCAAGAGGTGGAGAGGTTGGAGACAGGGAAGTGGGGGAAGCAGCGGCATCGGTGGGAAGGGGTTACATTTGAAGTGAATATCTCTAATCAGAAGCTTGTTAGCGTCTGCTGAGCAGTTTTGCTATAAGCTATGGAGCTTGTAGCAGATGCAGGAATGCAGGTACGTATTGTGTATGAATCTGGTCATCCAGAAGCAGTGCTGTAGGACCGTACACCATACCAACCTGACAGCAATGGGTTAATCCTCTCTTCTCAAGAGAGAATAAATTCAGTTCAGCTAACGTTTCCCCATAGATGAGCTTCTCCATGCCTCTTATCAGTTTAGTTGCCCTTCACTTTCTCCAGTTTCCCAGTATCCTTTTTGTGAACTGGTACCCAAAACCGAACAGTATATTCCAGATGATCACTTATGAATGTATTGTACAGATACAAAATGATATTTCTCAGTCTTTTAACCACTTCAAGTCCAGACACTTTCACCCACTTCCAGTCCAAGCACATTTTCGGCTTTCAGCACTACCACATTTTGAGTGACAATTACTCAGTCATGCAACACTGTACCCATATGAAATTTGTATCCTTTTTTTTGAATAGATAGAGATTTATTTTGGTGGTATTTGATCACCACTGGGTTTTTTTATTTTTTCTATATAAATGAAAAAATACCAAAAATATTGA